TAATACAGGAGGACCCCCCCCCCATATCCACAGGGATTGGTTCCAAGCCCCATTGCAGATGCTGAAAAATTCAGATTATTGTGAATGCTAGAATGGTGTCTAGTTCCCTTTAGTGGTCAGTAATAACAATATAGAAATATGTATGCTGTATATTTCTGGGATTTTTCTTTTAATGTTTTCAGACCGTGGATAAGTGAATCAGTGAATACTAATTTCACAGATATGGGGTCCTACTTGTTAGGCTGAGGGGCTAGCACAGGGGAAGTCAGATCATTCAAGGTTCTGAGCCAATTCCAAATTGCATTTTAATTGCCCAACTTTTATTACCAAAATGAGCTACCTGCAACACCAGTGTCCATCAGTCATCAAATACTGATGATCTTTCAAGAAAACATCTCCCGACCATTGGAATCCCCAACAAATTTAACGGTTGAACAGATCTATTCCTCATTTTGCAAAATCTGAAATGCAATTCATCTGATATTCTGAACAGCAACAACAACAAAGAAGCTTCAGAAAATAATTAAGTGCCTTTTAAATTTTCTTCTGATCTGATCTTTCTGATTCTAAAACTCCAACTTTTGCAGAAGGATTTGGATATCCAGGAAATGAAGTCTACCCTTAAGGAATACACGTCAGTTATAGAGGTATGATTGCAACAGTAATCATAGTTGGGGGGGGAATGGGGCTGCCCATTCTTCATTTGTAGATATCTGCATTAAAAGAGCCTTGTTTTGGGTGTGACTTCTAGATTTTGCGCGTAGAGAAGAATAAATTGATGAATAATGTTCAGCACATGCAACAGGAGCTGATCTCGTGAGTATTTCTGGTTCCGGGGTAGGGGAGAAGATTTGATTCTCTTAATAGCAGTTACAGATATTTAACTTTTAAAATCTCATTTGCTAGGAATGGAATAAACTTTCCCTTGATATACAAGCTGAATAGCAGCATCCTTGACGGGACCAATTCCTTACACTGGGAACTGGAACTGGCTCAACGACAGCCAGAGGTGAGTGGCTTTTCGCTGGAGGAGGGGAAAACAGAAGCACAGCCTTGATTATCACATTTGTGGGTTGCATCAAAGCAGGTTCCTTCCCCTTTTCCTATCCAGAGCCTCTGATTATGTGCTTTGCTCAGGACATGTTGGGGAAAAAAACACCCCTGCATTTTGCAAGTCATCTGAACCATTCTGTGTCAGTGTAAGAACTGCTAGGTAGCTCAGTGATTTATTGTAAGTCACGGAGGCTGGGAGTTCAGTTCCCTACTGTGTCTCCTTGAG